AAAAGGTTTTTTAGTATAATATAATCTTGTTTATTTTCTTAATTTTGTTAATTTAAATAAGTAAATAGAAGAGAATTTATTTCAATTACTATATAAAAACTGATTGGAAATAAATCATATACAATGAGAGACATATTCAAAGATTAAGTTTGATGTAGTTTTTCATGATTATTTTATATAATTGATTGCAAGCATGCTTCTCTTTAACCATCAGTTTGCGTAATAATAAATATACATCTTTCTTTGCCCTAAAAAAATATAAAAATCTAAAAATACCTAACATTTATTTATTTTTTGTCAAACAAACAGGCAGTAAAGTCATTCTTACTTTAACGTTATTAATCACCATATATTCAAATAAAAACAAAACTCAGAAAAGCCAGAATTACGGCAAGCAATAACAATATTTCTTATAAATCCAGAGTTTATTCTTTACCTAGAACTGCAATTCGTTTCACGCTGTGTGTGAGCGAAACCGCGTTTTTTAATGCTAATATTTTCTGTCATTGCATCTAGATGAACAATCGTATTTCTCGTGAAGAAACGTATATTTCTATATCTCATCAAAAGATATACGATATATTCTCTCTCATTAAAATATGAATTCTATGTTTCGTATCGATAGAGAATTTATTCTCATGTATATCCTGCAAAATAAAAAATTAACTTGCGGAAAAATTTTTTATCTCTTGAAAATAGCGGAATTCAATGAGAAAAAAGAGATTCCTTGGCGCGTCGCACAAGTGGCGAATTATATGGAGAAAATAATTTTTCATAATTTATGGCAGTAGCAAGATGTACACATACGCACGGACGCTTCGCCAGAGTCAAGACTACCGGCGTCCTCGCATTTGAATTGCTTAATCTAAACTCCCACTATAGCCTCGTGCACGAACGCAATTCCATTAGTAACAAATCTTTGCCGCGAGAGTCGTTCTTCGGTATGGAAATCGGTGGCGCTTTATCGTGTTCTTTGCGACGCAAAAGCGGTGCAAGATCAATCCTCGGCTACGAATATTACTTGAATCTTTTTCTAAGAGCAATTCTTTCTGTCATAAATTTCATATTCGCGTAATAAATTGATTTTGTTGAAGATCACATATTTTTTATTGTATTTTACATTATGTAAAAAAATCTAAATTTGATAAAGATCTAAGAAAATCAATTTTTTTCAAAAAAAATATCTATGCAATCACATACATTACATATTTTCTCTTTTTTCGAGGTATTATAATATATTCAAAATATTGTCAAAATCAAAAACAAATGCGTGTAAAATAAGTAATTTGCTAAAAAGGTGTTGTAAAAAAGTGGTTGTTCACAAAGATATCGACAAAGGCAACATTTGCTCTAAATATATCTTTTTGTTGCCTTTTGACCTCGCATCACGTTTGTTTCATCACGCATTTTGCACTTGACGTTTATTTTACCTCGCATCTTTCTTCATCGGATTCGCGTCGTCGAGGAAAAGTAATTTGTCGCTTATCGCGTGAAACACAGAGGCGGAGTGCGGTGGGCTCTTTTCGCGGAGAGAAATGCAGCAATATGAATACAACGACCGAAGCAAATATTAATTTCTACCTTCGAGTTAGCAAGCGGATATCGCGGGCTTTCAAGGCAATTTCAATCCTGAATGACGCTATTTCAAGATCTGTTGTTGTACGGCAGACCTTGTCCCGCGATCTGTATTTCATCGGAAGCTATTCTCGTTAAGATGTGAATTCTGAGAAAGATTTATTACCGTCTCTCTCTATAAGCACAAACCTTTTTCTGAGACACAAATATATTTATTCCTTCGGTGTTTATGACACATTTCCTTTCGTATCTAAATGAAATATATACCAGTTCTTTTTTATCAAATTCGGCATCAAAAAATTTTTGAAGTTACCAAATTCAAATACGATATTATGTAAAATTTTGATATCCAGAGAATGGTGGATTAAAATATAAAAATGTTTAAAAACTTACAGAGCTAATTAACGATGTGAATAAACGATGCTAACAAACTATAGATAAACATACAGCACATTTCGCTCATCAAATAAAAAATACATATATTATTATATTATAATCTGAATGTTTAACTTTCAGTTGAACTTTCAATGCATTCACTGCAGGTTATTGATTTTAATATATCGACAACCTGCACTACGTTACAGGTTGTAGTGATTAATTAATCATACACCGCTATTACAACATTTTACACGTTGTCGCTTCAACGACCATTAAACATCATTAAAATGTAACTAACGATCAAAAGGGACGAAATTCTCTCTCCCTCTCTCTCTCCCCCCTCCCTCTCTCTCCCCTCTCTCTCTCTCTCTCTCCTCCTCCCTCTCTCCCTCCCTTTGTCCCCCCCAACCTTCTCTCCCTCTCTCTTCCTCGGCGAGTATTACATGACTTATGGATATCTTTTTGTTATCGCGCATTTCCCTAATTTTTTTCCAAAGATGGCCGGAGTTACGACAGCGACGCGGATGAAAATTCTATTTCGGTATTGAACAACACAAAATTGAGCAGCACGAAATTTCGCGTGTCGGTTACGAGGCGCGCCATACGTGCGCCGAATGCGACAAGCGATACCAGAATGTGACACCGAGTCGCTTCGTAAATGCACACACGCTCGACGAGAATTAACACATGTCGCGTGTGTGGCGGCAATTCTCTCTTTTTTTCATTGAAAGAAAGAGCATCTCGCTGAATTATGCCGGTCATCCGAAAAACGTTGGCTGGCTCGTGCGTGTAACACTAAGAGAGTATCCAGCTGCGAACAACGATACGAGCAACTGTTTAAGTATATCCAGAGATATCATATTAAATTTAAATTATTGTTTTTACATTAAACCAAAGGCTTCGGTAAAGGACTTATACTAAGATGATGCCGTAACACTTGTACCATAACGGAATCTTTTCCGGTAGAATTTTTGCGTAGGACATTATTTGTGACGCTATTTGCAGTTAACTATAAAATCATAAGTTTGTTATTACATCGCTGAAATATTTCAAAATTCATTATACGCATACGCGATTTCACAAGTTATGAAATATATACATACGAGTGTTTCATTGCGAATATACGAGGTCCATTAAAACTTTAAATTATGATGTCGAAAAAGCAAATTTTTACCATTCTTGGCGGAATGTATATTTCGCGAAATGTCTACCACGTGCGTGCGTTTGCCGGACATGGAGAATTTACTTTTGTTGAATAAGAAAAGGCCCGGTTCGTTGTGCGAGAACACCGAAATTTTATGAATTATAATTTCTCTCTCTCTCTCGAAAAATATCTATTATTGATACAGCTGCATTTGTTGCAATCGTAAATAATGGTCGTACTTGAAGTCATAAGTCGAGTCGACATCCTCTACGCCTACTAACAATAAAAGCTACTGCGGTAGCTGGTGAAAATACCTACATCTAATTATTACACGCGAATACGCCTCAGCAGCGCAGAGAATGCACCTTGTGGATCCTATTCTGGAGCAATTTTACGAAGATTTACTTCGTTCTCGCGATACGATAGCAAATTATCTCTCACGCACGCGGCAAACCGTGTTCCCGCATTAATTTATTTTTTAATTTCTTGTCACGCAAAATATTTTTTTATTGTTTGATTCTTATATGCCTGTATGTCATATATGTATATGTATACATATATATGTATATGTACATACATACCATATACATATCGAAATACCATAAATAAAATTGTGATACAATGTAGAGAAAAATGATTCCTTGTGTGTGTGCAAGAGCAAGTAAAAAATGTAGAATAAATTTTTTTAAAGTTTAAATCTATTTATATAAGGACCATACCTTAAACTCTTAAAATGATTAACTTGAAAATAGTTATTTTTGGTAGCTTTAGACCGATAACTTTAGTGTAAATATGTTATAAAATATAATTATGCGATTGTGTAATTATCTCATAAATAATAAAATAACAACATAATATAAACTGTAAATTTGTACATACAAAAAGATGTTGACCAGGAAAATATTGGAATAAATTCGATTTTCGCGGTAGAGATAATATAAATCGTCGAATTAAGGATTACGTTCAATATAATAGGTCCTGAGCAACCATCTCTGGCGGTAGTAACTCTGTTCTCCCGGTGGTGAAAGAGGATTTGTTCATCTCTTTCCGTGTCTCATGTATGCGATCGGGGTGGATTTGAAGCGTGACATTTCCCCACGTATATTGCACACACGCGGATACATTGTTGCGAGCACAGGTGTGCAGAGAGCGGATTGTAAGCCATAAAAGCGCAGTAAAATCTGTTTTATAGCTGCGTTCATAGATGTATGACAAACGTAGTATTGTCTTTCGAAACAATCAAAACGTGGTATCTAATCGTAAAAAATCTTAAAGAAAGCGTAATAATCTATAACTTGTAAACAGTACTTTGCAATAATAAAACAATAATATTGTAAATGCAATAAATAAACCTTAATTATTGCATTTATTGATATATATATATATAAATACCATTCACATATTAAAACGCACAAATATAAATAAAACAATAAGAAAAAAAAATGATTATGCGCAAAAAAATATTTGCCTTATTTTTGTTTTAAAAATTATTTATCGACATTTGGCTCTCTCTCTCTCTCTCTCTCTCTCTCTCTCTCACTCTCTTTCTCTTTCTCTCGATTAATTGATTGATTGATTGGAAGAATATTTGCTAAAATTCCAATCAATTTAAATATTCGCATTGGCTTCGCGTATATTCTCTTAAATTGTACGCAACGTTAATCAATCCTCTCGCGCTTTCAACCCCAGCAAAAGCCGTCCCTCGAGTTACGTCAAAGGCTTGAAACTGGAGATCACTAACACTGGCGTTTCCACCTCTCGGCTGAGCGCGATCTACCTGTGGCTCTCATTCGCCCTTCGTTTACCTTTTAATTCATCTCCCCCTCCTAATCAATTATCACCTTCAGTTAAGCGTCTCGCGCAAAAAGAGCCAGTCCCATTCGCTCGCTAGTTTTCCACTCACCTAGGCATATTGAATCATTCCATCGGGGTGACAGATGATTCAATCACTGATAACTCTTCTTCGTCCCCGAGAAAAGGAAGACGTCTCTCCTTGTAGCGATTAAATAGACCGATTAAAAATGCTTCTATTTCCTCTCTCAAACACTCGCGCGTCCTTTACGGCAGTCGCGCAAGTTTCGCGTCGCAAATTCCCGACGATGCTTCGCGAACGACGGTGGCGCCAATTTCCAAGGTCGGGACCGCAAGGTCACAAGGTCTACTTCCGGACCAGGTGCCGGCCGGTGGCAATCGGAAGCGACGATCGAGTCGAATCGCGCGCGTGCCGTATCGAGCGCAAGTCTCGGCCGCGCGTGCTTGCCCAACCTGCACCCCTTCCTTTTCTGCTTCGTCGTCGTCCTGCGCGTCTTTCCTCCCCCGCGAGGATCCTTGTCACACACGCGCGCGATGTCCCGCGATCTGCACCACAGTCCACTACTCACTGACAAGATTCCCCGCCGTGACACTTGCTACTTTCTTCTTGATTTTTCTCCCCCCTCTCCCTCTCCTTCTACTCTCCTTCTCTGCCGCCACTGGTCGTTCTCGTCTCACGACGCCTCGTGGTGCTTGTTGCGGTTCTAATCCTCGTCCGGAGTGCGTATCAAAAAGATATGTGATGCCGTGTCAAGTCGCTGATTGCATCGGAGACGAGAGTTACGATCTCCGTTTTCTTTATGATATCTTGCTGCAACGTTCGTCTGTTTGATAATTGTCCAAACAGTAGTTGATCGTCTGTCCTAAATCGCCAATATTGTCACGTGACGCGGAAGAAACTGTTACTCGGGAGAGTTTCACAACCGAAGAGAAACGTCACACGTGACGGTGATATGCGACAATGCGACAGGTATATCACGATGATAATTGTAATCGCAAACTCGTGTCCGCTATAACTATCTAATTTTTTAATAGTCTCTGTTTACTAGTGTGATTCTTCGTGTGATAGTCACTCGTATATTTATATATTATCTTTCTCCTCGACTTATCGATATTCTATTACCAATTGAAAAGAATGATGACCCTCAAAAGTAATGTCTTCTAAAGTAATACTTGCTTTCCAATTCCGCAATTATCGCAAATTGTACCGATTTTATCCGATCGCGCATCGAAGATGATCCCGCTTTTCTCTTTCCGTGTTGTTGAATTGACGTTTCCTTTTCCGTTTATCTCCCGCGCGCACTTCTCCTCGGTTCAAGCCCGGAGTCCTCTTACAATCCACTCTTCGATATCGCTGCGAGATGCTTTTTTCTAAGATATAGCCAATTATCTGTTCTTCACATATTCTCTTTAACTCTCTCGATATTATCTCAGCCACTCTTTTACTCGGAGTACTTACTGACGCAGAACAAGTTTCGCGCGCGAGAGGAGCTGCGGGTGTACACCAGTGCGAACGATCGCGTCGACACAACGGAACAAACAGGCTGGAACCGATGGCGGCTGATTCAAATTCGCTCCCCACGTGGCGGCGACGGCGTCATCCCCGAGACTGCCGCCGGTACGACGCTTGGCGTCGGTCAAAGCGTCGCCATCTCACGGCTCGCTGGTTAACTATCTTTACCGCGGCGGTTCTTTTCAAAAACATTGTTACCAAAACTCATTCTCTCCTCCTTCCCTGTCTGTCTCCCTCCCTCTTCCTCTCTCTCCCCCATCACCCCTCTCCCATTCCTCCCCCTCCTCCTACCCCTCTCTCTCTCGACGATGGAGAAGACGTGTCAAACATCGCTCTATAAAAGTGATAATTTTTAAGTAGTTAAATAATGAGGGAGAGTGATAAAAAGTTATTGAAGTAATAATTGCATAGACCGGGAATAGCCATGCATGTTATCTAGCCGGAATATGCTGATTTGCGAGCGTGAGAACTAAATTTCTTGTGTGGGACGTCCAAGTCTCGTACGACAGGTAGATATCGAAAGTGGACAAAGTGCTGACGTATAAAAGTGGACACAAAGGTGACTGATCGCCTATGCTGATATTAGCAGTTTCAACCGGTAATTATCGATATGGACGATGAATACGACGAATATCGATGCTCGGCAATAAAAAACCAGATTGTAACATGCAAGTCTTGTGATAAACCTTTTTATCATCCAGGATGTGTAATTAAGCATAAAATATATAATAGAAACCATGAATTGGTGGCGTATCGTGGCCCATTTGAGAAATTTATTATCGATAGCGATAAAGAAGCAGCTATGAGTAAAGCATTGACATCGACAGGAAAATCAACGGAGAGTACGGCATCAAGTAGTGGAAACAGAATAGCAGGCGTGAGTGGATCAGTGGGTATTGATATAAAAATAGATTGGGTTAAAAAACATTGAAAGAAATAAAAGATGAAACAGCATGTAAAAAAAAATCAAAATGATGATTAAGGAAATAGTTAAAAAAAAATTGGAAAATATTAAACAAGAAGTGGGAGAATTGAGAAGAATGATACAGGAAGAAGTTTCAGGACCATCAGAAGGAGCACAAAGAAGTTATAGTGACGCAGTTAAAGACAAGAAAAAAGAAAATATTATAATTGTCAAATCTAAGATGCAACAGGACAGTGAAGTTACTAAAAAATTGATAAAAGAAAAGATAGACATCAAGAATATAACTATGGGAGTAACGAAGCTAAAAGGAAGCAAGGAAACTGTGATTCTGGATTGTGAGATTGGAGAAAAAATGGAAAAATTTAAGGCTACAGTACAAGCCAAGCTGGGCGAGAATTTCAAAGTTACTAAATCATTGCGGATGAAAACTAAAATAAAAATTGTCAATATTGGCAAAGAAGAAATGAAGCTGAATGATGATGATTTAATAGTTACAATCAAAAAGCAAAACAAGATTAACGTGAAGAATAAAGGAATTCATATGCGAATAGTGAAGAAAATAGTTAAAAGTCAATCCGGAAGTAGAGGTAAAGAAGAAGGTTCTGTAATAATTAAAGCAGATGAGAAAACTCATGAAATAAAGTTGAGCAAAAGAAAACTGAATGTAGGATGGAGAAAGTGTCTGGTATTTAATCATATTAATATTAAAAGATGTTCTAAATGCTGGGATTCTCATCATATTGCAAAGAATTGACGAAATGAAACATGCCACAAATGTGCAGGAAATCATAAAGTGATTGAATGCGCGGCGACAAAGAAAAGATGTGTAAATCGTATGTTTAAGATTCAAACATACAATTTGAAAATAAGTGATGAGCATGACGCCCTTCATCCAAAATGTCCGACATTTAAGAGGGCGATACAGGAGGAGAAGAGAAGAGCCGGCTGAGAGGATATTAAATAACAACTACAGAAGGAAGAGGATACAGCATCAGATATGAAGATAATGAATCCTGCATAGCACTGTCGGAGACTAGATTAACTGCTAGGGTTGAAGATTTGTACTGCAAATAGCTGAGAAAGCTAGTAAAGATCATACAAATCAATCCCTCTCTCTCTCTCCCCATCTTTGATTGTGCAACGCTGTTAGTTGAAGACATTGCAATACAATTTTGTAGAACTATGAACTACAAGTGCACAAAAAGAGTATATTTTATGAAGGAGTAAAAGTGTATAATGCCTTACCAACTGAGATGAAACGATGTAAAAAATTGAGCTGTTTAAGCAATTGTTAAAGGAGTATATTGTAATTCATGTAAACTAGATCTGTATTACAAATAGCTGAGAAAGCTAATAAAGATTAATCAATCAATCAATCAATCTCTCCGTGATTAGTCTTTGAAATATATAAATAAAAATAAATAAACATAAAATTATTTCTACTATTTTATTATGCACACATTTAATTATAAGTTACAATCATTTTTCTTCATATTTACAACAAACATCTGGTTGAATATCTGGTAAAAATTTCAAGTTTAGTAATGTGTATAGATATAGTGTGTATTTTTTGTACGAAGTCAAATGGTATCAAAAAAAATAAATGCCAAAAAGAAGAAAGAATTGTAAAAAAACTGGTAATAGAAGTTTTGTATTTTAGAATAAAGATAGGACTGTGTGAAAATAAATTAGCAATCATTAAAGATGTGTTCTGAGAAAGGAATCAACATTGGAAGTATGTTCTTTGATAATTTTTACAGAGAGTCAATGTTTGCTTAGTAAGAATGAGTAAAGAAAGATTACGAAAGAATGTTGCAGATAAAGTAGTTCTCGCAAAGGTGAAAATAATGGGATCTTACTTATTCTAGCCATATCTCAAAGTAGAATTTACATTAAGAAAAATTTAACTTAACGATTACTTGTCGCAATATTTAAGTACATATTGAAAATTTTAAAATTTCTTGAAGTGATAATTTCTTCAATTTTTCCTTTAAAAGCACATGTATCATATAATTTAATAATATAATAAAGTAATTTAATAAATATATATATAAGATGAAATAAAATATATACAATGTCCATACGCATAAATCCGAACGTATCATATTTTAGTAACAAGTAAAACGTATATTTCAACGTTAGGATGCTATAATATCATTTGCATCAAGTTAGTGGATATACCATCTGATCTGCAGCAATGTCACGGATTTATCATCCGAATTATCTTCACGCTGTATGCAATACAATCTAAAATCCAGGTCATGCTCGTAAAGCAGATCTTGATGTGGCTCACTTTTGGAAATGCATTATTCTATTCTCTGAATCAATATCGTAAAGTCGTGATATCGATCAAGATTGAGATTATTGCAAATAATACAACAATACTGCGTTCACGGAGAGAACAACCTCGCTTCGCGCAGCTTTGGGCGGAGTGGGGATTAGGTGAGAGACTTCAGCGCGCTACTTCAATGTCATATGTCGTATGCGTATCGATCGTGTATCACGTATGTGATCCGCCTATAAAAATCGAAAGGAATATCATAATATTGAAAGCTTGAGTTGTTTTCTGTTAATCGATTTTTATTACTCTTTTTAATTAAATCGGGATATATCTATTATATTTATTTTCTCTTTTTGCAATCAAAAAATTATTGATAAGATTTAATACTATTATAAATAAATAGGGTCCCTTTTGTCGGCTAGCCGGATCTGAAAGCTGCAAGACCAATTTTGGAGTGGAGGGGGCAAAATGGGCGGTCGGTCGGGCGGGATCTGACCGAACCGGACGAAAAGCGAGGTCGTTCTCCGTGAACGCAGTATATAAATCTTTTCTAAATAAAAAGCACACGCCGAGTACTAAAAAAGATATTTACAATACAAAACTAATAAATAAATAAAAATTTAAAAAATATAAAAGATTTAATCTTCCCCCCTCCCTAAAAAAATATTATTAAAATATGGATAAATATTTTAAATTATTTATGAAAAACGCATGTAATGGAAAAATTATGACAACAACGTTTATAATATGTTATATGATTTTTGTATATGTACATAAAATCTAGGATTCCCATACAGCACAGAACGTTGCAGCAACATCGTAACATCGCCACAATGTTGCTACAATGTTGCGATATTGCTGCAATGTTGCTGCAACGTTCTGTGCTGTATGGGTTTTAACTGGAGACTCGACGAACGTCAAACTGAAAGTAAAGATTCAGCGCAGTGCTTATTTCTTATCAGTCTTATCAGTCTTTGATTAGATGCATGATATTACCATTAGAATGACTTATTGCGTATGAAATCACTGATGTAATAGTTCACTATATGTCTAAAAAAAAATTTAGGTTTAAGGTACCATAAGTTTATCAGCGTACTTTAAAAAAGAAATCGCTACAAGATAATGATTAGAGAAAAATGAATAGTTGTTTTCAAATATTTTTATTATCTTGATAAATTTAATGTTAAACATCAATAATTGTAAAACCACCGAATAATTATGTGTGTGTAACACATTTTATTACTCAGAGTATTAAAGAATAACAGGAATGAGCATATCGGTAGTGAAGGTAGACTTATCGCGAACGGTAGTACGTCATCGCAGCCATCTTGAGCGTCCACTCTTTTTGACGTTTTTCAGGGCCATGTACAACCATTTGTTACCTTACTTGTTCCAGTCTGCACTTATTTTGCGCATGATCACCGATTCTAAATAAGTGAGAGGAAGAGCCAATATTAGGCTAAAAAAGTATTATTAATAAGTGTTAAGGTAAAACTTAAGATTAAGGGCGACCTCACCGATTTCAATGACCTTGATATATAATGACCTTGATATTGTCAAGGACATAATTCCGAGTAAGTTTTCTTCTAATTTAATCGTCGCTCGTTGCTTATTAAAAGTTATTAACAAAAAAAGTTTGAAATATACCAAAGTACATGCATGGACAGGAAGCACGTTAATTGTAAGATTATCAGAGCGTCATGGTGCATTGCCAGGCCTTTGAAGTACTTCCAGTATCTTCATCATGCTGCAATTTGTCTCTGAGCGGCCATCTTGGGCGTCCACTTATACAGGGTGTCTGATAATAAT